CAGGCGCACCTTAGTCCTCAAGCTGACATCTCTGCTCTAAAAGTTCGAAGTATGACTCTATTTATAAAATTAGTTTCATGTAACATTTAAAATTTGTCTCTTAGTTGGAATGGTATATGTTATTGTTAAGTACCATGGAGTTGGTTCCGACTCATAGTGACCCTGCACAGGGTTTCCGAGGCTGTAAATCTTTACAGGAGCAGAACCCCTCATCCTTCTCCCACGGAGCGGCTGATAGTTTCGAACTGCAGACCTTAAGGTTAGCAGCCCACTTTATAACCACTATGCTACCAGAGCTCCTGGAATGATGCATGATTGCTTTAAAAATGTTCCATATATTAGGAAATTTTCTCTTCTAGGGAGATGGAATAGGTATATTTTTTCCTTATTCCTCTCACTTTTGTTGTGTGGTGGCAAGTTGATTGCGATTCATAACCATCCTGTATAGGATTTCTGAGAGCAGCTGCCGACCTAACAGTTACCAGTACAGTGCTTATCCTACCGTACCACACCAGGGCACAGTCCTCCCACTTCTTAAGTACGGTCATTTCCTACTCATAGCCACTCTGTATGTGGTGTTTCCAAGGAGCAGCTGGTGGGTTTGAACTGCTGACTGTGTGGTTTGCAGTCCAGTACAGAGGCTAGAGCACTACAGCACTCCTTCCACTGTGGGCTTGAACTGCTGATCTTGTGGTTCTCAGTCTAATGTTTATCCTACAAAGCCACTGTACTCCCTTGTCCCTGCACACTCCCCATCCTGTTATTTTGTTGTTAAGTGCCATTTGAGTTAGTTCCAACTCATATAGGGTTTCCAAGGAGCAGCTAGTGGGTTTGAACAGCTGACCTTGGAGTTCAAACCGACTTTGTGGTCCAGTGCTTATCCCACAGCACGCCACCAGGACTCCCTTTATTGGAGTGGAACAAGGTGAGCTGGACATGGGGATGGAACGCGTGTGTGAAGAGAGCTTGGAGGAGGAGGCTGGAACACCCCATGTCCACTAGATCCACCACCTGCCCGTTCACAGTTGCTGTGAGGAGCACCAAAGGGGGCGGGTTCCTCACGGACACTGTGAAGGCAGGAACGGCTGCGGGTTAGAGATGGAGGCATGGGGCGGCCCCGGACACAGCCTTCCATGCTTCGCCCTCCTGGAAGGCCGAATGGCAGAGGAAACCAAGCCATTATAGTAAGGTATGTCAAAATGTATTGCTACAAACCTTAGAAACCTTGATTAAACAAAATACCACAATGTTAAGCTATTCTTTCTTGATATCTCCTCCCATCTATGTCTACACACTTCTGAACACATGGTTTCCATCTCTCTGAGCCTTCCTCATAGAATTCTGCATTTTTCATTTTATATGATGTCAAAAACACCAGGTTTAGCATCATCTAAGGGCTCAAATGATGTTCCTTTTAAGTCTTCTGAATTTGATGGGCAAAAAGAAGTATGAAGGGATGAGATCAAGGCTGTAGGGTAGATAGGGTAAGGTTCTTGAAGGACAGCCCTTGCTGTCCTCATAGAATGAGTAGGCAAACTGTCGTGGGAAAAAAAAAAATTCTCGATGCACCTGTCATGGCCTTTTTCTCACTGATGCAGTTTTCTATGTTCTGAAAACTTCTTCTTAATAAGCCCCCATGATTGTTCTGTGTCATTTGAGAAAATCTATCAAGATTAGTCTTTTGAATACCCTAAGTAACCATAACTTTCTAAGCTAACTTCTCTACTTAAGATCTCCTTGGAAGTAATTTTTTTTTAATAGAATTTTTTTTAAGGTATCTTAACAAAACTAAGATAAGTTTATTACTGAGAGAACTTGTTTGTACAAATCCTCTGAATACAGAGGCATATTTAAACATGTATGAACTAGAACGCTAGTATCAATTCTTTTTATTTACCCTCTTATTTGTGTGTGTGTGTGTGTATGTATACATATATATATGTATGTATGTATATGTGTGTGTATGTATGTATATATATGTATATGTGTGTGTATATATGTATATGTGTGTGCGTGTGTGTACCTACATGTGTGCATGGATATGACTGCACGTGCATATATTTATTTATTATAAGAGACGCCTTCAAAAAGTTCGTGGAAAATGAAATTGAAAGATAATGAAAAATTTCCTCAAACTTTTAGAAGCCCCATTGTAAAATAAAGCACAGAGGGGCAGAGTTATGGATAGGATACTTACACATAACTAAACACTTTGTGGAATTGGTTTTATAGATTTGAAGGATTAGGGCTATATAGTCTCATGGAACACCTTAGTCAATTGGCATAACATGGTTCATAAAGTTACATTCTACATCCTAATCTGGTGAATAAGTGTCTGAGGTCTTAAAAGCTTGTGAACGGTCATTTAAGATACAATTACTAGTTTCAACTTGTGCGAAACAAAAAAGAAGGAAAAAAATAAACCTAAAGACTAACAAAATATGAACTTCAACCTCACCTATCCTGCTACTAGTAGAACTAGATGGTTCTCGGCTATGACTGCCTACTGTTCTAATCAGAGTAACAAAATATGGACACAGATCAAACAGGAAAAAAACGTGGGACAGAATCTCAAATTCCTTTAAAAGACAACACACACACATAGAGACTTACTGTACTTGTTGAGACTGCATGACTCCCCAAGGCCATTGTCAATTCAAACCTTGAACTGCAACTAACCCGAGGGCACCTTGTAGTTAAATAACTGGCTCACAAAAGAATGAATCTCCCTCAAAAGCATTATGCTCCTTTTTAAAAAACTCAACTATATTAAGACCTAACAGTTAACAATGACTTTAACACAAACATGAGATTATAAAGGGACCCAAAAAACTAGATTAAGGGACACAGAACCAAGACATAAATAATGAAAATGTTTACATATTGTGAAGAATGTAATCATTGTCACTGAACAATCTGTGCAAAAATTGTTGAATGGGGACCTAAACTGCTATGTAACTCTTTACCAAAAACTCAATGAAGTATTATTTAAAACAACAAATCCCCTAAATAGCTTTAGCCTGCTCCTGCTTCCATTGCCCAATGCCTATACTTCAATGAAATAAACACAGATGTTCTTAAAATGCTTTATAGTCAATATATATACCAGTTATTTTAGTCAATATAACTTTCCATACTCTTAAGTACATGACATAAGCCACTAAACTTTTTCAGAGAATACAATGTCTTAATTGCCCAATACTAAACAAGCCACACCCACAGCTGTTGAGTTGATTCGATTCATAGTGCTCCTATGTACAGGACAGAGTAGAACTGCCCCTTAACGTTTCCAAGGCTGTATATATTGAACCACGGCATCACCAGGGCTCCTCTGATATATCTAATATGTATCAGCGGTTCAAAGTCACAGGGTCACGATGAGTTGGAACTTGACGGCACTTAACATGTATCCTGGGTGGAACTAAGGGCAACACTGGACCACTAACTAAAAGATCAGCTGTTCCTCGGAAACCTGTTAGAGTCAGAACCAAAGTGAAGATACTTAACAACAACAACATAGACAAAAAATACTTTTTTAATGTGTTTTTTTAATTGTCTGTACTACACACAACCCCTCCTTTCCAAAGGGCTGCCAGATAAAGTAGGATAGACATCAATGAACAAAGATGTCACACTTTGAGGACTAAGGTGGGCCTAACCAAGTCCCATATGAATGTGACAGTTGGACAATGAATAAGAAAGGCCACAGAATAAGTGATACATTTGAATTATGGTGTTGGCCAAGAATTCTAAAAAAGTACCACGGACTATCAAAAGAATAACAGCAACAAAAATAAATCTGCCTTGGAAGAAGTAAAGCCAGACTGCTCCTTAAAAGCGAGGATGACAGACTTTGTCTCACTTACTTTGGTCACAGTATCAAGAGAGACCAGTCCCTGAAAACAGACAATACGCTTGGTAAAGAAGGTCAGGAAAAAAGAAGACCCTCCCCGCCAACAAGATGGACTGCAATAGTGGGTGCAATAATGGACTCAAACTTAACAATTGTGAGGATGGTGCAAGGACAAGCAGTGTTTCGATCTGTTGTGTTATGTCGAAGCCAACTCAAAGGCACCTAACAACAGACAAGAAAAGGTGCCCTACTATTTAAGCTGATTTAGCAGCTCATCTAATAATAACAATAACCATAATAGCACTGCCAAGCACTGTGCTAAATATTTTACATTATCTTTTTAAATCTTCAAAACAACCTTATCATCTAGGTATATACACCATCTTCCCCATTCTAGCCCTTTCTTACTTTGTACTTTTATTTTTTGAATTGTCTGTACTACACACAGCCCCTCCTTTCCAAAGGGCTGCCAGATAAAGTAGGATAGACATCAAAACCAAGAGTAGTAGCTCATCCATATGAGATTTTTAACAAAGATGTGTAATGATTGACTGCTTCACTACTTTCTGAAACACTGCATCACCTGAGAACCTGGCAATGCCACAGTATACCACAATATAAAACTATGACACTCAGGAATTTTTTGTCTCTGAATGGCCTAAAATTTTATCCTTTCAAATTTACTGTTTGCCTAATTAGCTATCCACAGTCTATCTTAACATATATTTCCTTGTAAAGTGATAATGACTGTTGTTATATTCTGAATGGTCAGATTTGATGGCACACTGACCCCTACAGAAAGACAGAATGCCTGTATCAATTGCATGCTCACCTGGAAGTTGTTCATTAGGCCGAAGGAACAATGACTGGTTTCACAAGATGAAAAGTCGAAGTTTAGTTTGCAGGCTGCAGAAGTACAATTTGTTAACTCCATCACAATAGTGTCATTAATGTTCCCGGTGGCATCTCGAACAACGCAAGAACCTGAATCACAGTGGCAATGAGAACAAATAATATAGTTAACTTTTATATTCATTTCAGAGTTGCATATACCCATAAAGAAACCATAGCCCAAACCTACTGTCACCAGTCAAGTCTGCCTCATAGTGACCCTATATAGGGTTTCTGCAACAATATATCTTTACTAACAGCTTCACTGTTCTCCTAAAGAACAGCAAGTTGGTCTGAATTGCTGAGCTTGCAGTTATCCTCCCAATATTTACACCATATACTTGCTTATAATACCATACACTACACTTACAATAACAGCTATACCATGTACAAAATTTAGAAAGCTCCCTAATTTTAAAATAATAAAATGAGACCCTTAACAAAGAAAAATCAAGGCAGATCAGTTTTTAACTGTGTCTTCAAGAGTTTGGAGGTTAGAAGGAACAGGTGCATTCAGTGCTAAGGATTCCTGGTGGCAGTGTTTAACACGCTTGGCTGGAAGGTCGAAGATCTGAACTCCCCAGCTGCTCTGCATGAGAAAGACATGGCAGTCTGCTTCAATAAAGATTAGTCTTGGAAACTCAAGAGCAGCTCTACTTGGCCCTGTAGAGTTACCATGAGTTGGAATTGACTAGGCGGCAGTGGCTTTGGTTTTTTTGGTCTGGTTTGTACAACAGACATTTCAATGTCTTAAAAGGTTTATGTGCATCAAGTGAAGGTGACTGTGAAGAATCTGCGGTGAATGGGTTAAGTATGGGGCTGGTTCAATCATTCCAAAGTGCATGAAAGGAGAAGTTTCCCATAGTGGGATGTTAGTCATAACATGAGGACTGCCTGTAAATCATATGTACATTTAAAAGCTGTAAATGCAGTGTGAAGAACAGCATAGTAGAAGAATTTTCCTGACCTATTTAAGACTTTCTTAAACTTAAATTATAAAAAATACTGTCTTGAAAGAGTTTCAAGTGTCTCTAAAGTTTGACACCTGAAGCTTGGCCAAAGATCAAATTGCTGTGACTATAGGCACTATGGAGTCCTGGTGTGGTGCTGTAGGGTAAGCACTGAAATGCTAAATGTAAGGTCAGCGGTTCAAACCCACCAGCTATTCCTCAGAAACCCTATATAGGATCACTGTGAGTCAGAACTGACTCAACGGCACTTGACAAAAACAACAAAATGCATTATAGTTCAAACACTGTCCACATTGTTGTACTTCTTAGGTTTTCAAAAACTGACTTTTTTTTTCTTTCTTCCTGGTTTATCTGAGTCTGGAAGCACTGCTGAAAGCTGTTCAACATCAAAGCAACACCAACTGACAGAAGGGAAATGGGGTTTATATAAAGTGTAGTGACCAGAAACAGCATTTGTGTCTCTCACATGAAAGAACAGAATTCTACCACTGAACACCAAATTTGATAATTTGCAGTTAGCAAATTTTACGACATTGTTTTCTGGGCTAGAATGTTTCCATTAATTTAAAGAACCTACTATATTGTTGTTGTTAGGTGCTATCGAGTTGGCTCAAATGCATAAATGACCCTATACGCAACCAACAGAAGGAAACACTACCTGGTCCTTCATCATTCTCAAAATTGTTATGTTTGAAACCATTGTTGAAGTCACTGTGTCAAACCATCTTGCTGAAATGGGGGTCTTCCTCCTTTTCGCTGACCCTCTCTTTAACAAGCATGATGTTCTTTTCCAGGGACTTGTCCCTCCTGATAATAAGTTCAAAGTGTGTGAGACAAAGTCTTGCTGTCCTTGATTCTAAAGAGAATTCTGGCTGTATAATGCTTCTAAGACAGATTTGTTTGCTTTTCTGGCAGTCTGCGGTACTTTCAATATTCTCCAATACCATAATTCAAATGCATCAATTCTTTTCTGGTCTTCCTTACTCATTGACCAACTTTCACATGTATATAAAGCCATTAAAAATGGCTTAGGTCAGGCCCATCTCAGTCCTCAAAATAACAGCTTTGCTCTTTAATGCTTTAGAGAAGTCTTTTACTCAACGCAGTATGTCTCTCGATTTCTTGACTACTACATCCATTGATTGTGGATCCAACTAAAATGAAATCCTTGACTTCAATCTTTTTCTCCATTCGTCACGATGTTACTTAGTGGCTCAGCTGTAAGGAGTTTTGTTTTCTTCACATTTGCTATGACAGTCAGTAGTGTTTATCTTAAAGACAGTTTAAAAATTATTTTGTTTTTTAAACCATCTTTATTATCCAAGCATTTCTTTAAATCAATTGCCAATTATCTTTTAAGTGAAGTCTCTGAGCCTTGATTTCCTAATCAACAAAACAGAATTGAGACACTGACAACTTTTCATTTCAAGTTTAAGTACTGTGATTCTATGACTATCATAAAATAATTTAAAATCAGTGCCATGCAATTTATTAAGACTTGAAATTCAACTTACATTATGTCCTGTCCTATAAGTGGTTATGGGACATAATTACATTATGTCCTGTCCTATGGTAAAACATGTGAGGCATTGCTAAATGGCACTGAAGAAATATTTGTATAACAACACTATATGACGGTACAAGAAATTCCATTATCTTTTTTCACTCTATTTTTCCATGGACTTTTTTTAAGCCCTCTCATATAAAATAATCACCATAAACAAAAATACTCAGAAATTTATGAAGAACAGAGAGTAAAATACATTTGCTTATACACATGAATTGCTGTTGTTATTGTTAAGGGCTGTCGAGTCAGTTCCAATTCATAGTGACCCTGTATAGGGTTTACAAGGAGGGACGAGTGAATTTCAACTGCCAACCTTGCAGTTAGCAGTTTAGTGCTTATCCTACAGCACACATGAAGACTCCATACATAAAAGTCATGGTGCTTAAAAATATAGTTCAGTAAAATTTTATTTTATAGGTGTGATCTTGGCATTGTAGGATAAGTACTCGACTGCAAGGCTGGTTTGAATCACCAAGTCAGCAGTTCAAACTCACCAGTCACTCCTCCGAAACCCTATACAGGGCTGCTATAAGTCCGAACTGACTCAACAATAACAATAACTAATTTAATACACTATATAAAAATTTTCAGGGAGAAAACAAAGTTGGTGGTTTAGATAATGTTGATAAAATGTCATTCCTAGATCATATTTGCCACTCTGTTTTTTACTGAAATATTTCTGAATTTAAAAGTTGGATTAGATTTGGCCACTTGGTATTGTTTTTTCCTGAAATATTTCTGAATTTCAAAGTTAACAAATCGAATCTCACAAAAACAAATTTTTACAATAATGTATATCATGAAGTTTCTAAGAGACATAAAAAAATGTAAAGCTTTTTACCTACAGATACTGCAATTCCTACGTAAACCACCGTAGTAATTAAAATGGCTAAAAGGGTTCCTTTGGGTATGGCTGACTGAGGATCCTAAAAGACAAGAAAAGTTTTTTAAGTCTATCTTTAGAAATAAATATACATATACCACTTTTTAAATAAAATTATCACTACAATGCTTTATAATACTTACGGCAAGATCACCTGAGATATTTGCTCCAGCCAGAATACCAGTTGCAGCAGGAAAAAAGATGGCAAATACAGAAAAGAAAGACTCTTCCTCTCGAAAATCTGGTCCAAAGTTCTCATTAAATATTTCTGCTGTAGAAAATAAAGTATTTTGGGTAATTAATAGATAGAACATTTATAGGCCATAATAATTTAGGCTGAGAATCATTGATTGGTACAGGTGATACCTGACCTCTCAATTAGTCATTGGTACATTTTTGCAGAGCTCATAATTGTTGAGTGATAAATATTACAAGTAAGTATTAGTGTTGGCCTTTTCTTGTATGAGGAAACAGTTAACAACTAAAATAATGATCTGATCTGTGTACTGTCCCATTATTATATATAGTATAGAACATACTAGTTTTTTAAAAATAGTATTTTATTGTGTTTTTGGTGGAAGCTTACACAGCGAAGTTCTCATATAACAATTTCTAAAATTCTTCAGTGACGTCAGCTATATCTTCTACAATATGTCAACATTCTCTATAACTGCAATCTAATGATCCCATTTCCAGTGCTCTGGTCTCTCTGCCTTTTCTCTTCTCATCTTTGCTGAAGAGTTAACTGTTGAGTTTTTAGTCTCATACATAGATAGGCTTGCTACACCACCAGTCTCATGAGTTGCTGTTGTTAAATGCCATCCAGTTGGTTCTGACCCTTAGCAATTCTGTGCAGGGTTTTCAAGGAGCAATTGGTGACCTTGAACCAGCAACCTTGCAGTTCAAACCAACTTTACAGTCCAGTGCATTAAGGCACAATGCCATACCACTCCCTTGTTCATGGGTTATAGCCTTTAATTTGTGTGACTAATAATGCTTAAAGCACCACTCTGTAGAATTCAAACCCACCAACTGCTCCATGGAAGAAAGATGAGGCTTCGCTCCCAAATTTCTGGCCTCAGAACACGGTTGCTATGACTCAGAACTGACTCCATAGCACTTAACAACAATGATCATTAATCCAGGTGTACACCAAAGCAAGAGTAAATCTCTCAGTCTTGTTGTACATGTTAGGTGCCATCAAGTTGGTACCGATTTATAGCGACCATATGCACAACAGAAGTAAACACTGCCTGATCCTGGGTCAATTCACAACTGTTGCCACGCTTGAGCCCATTGATGCTGCCATTTTGCCAATCCATCTTTCTGAGGAGGTCTTCCTCTTTTTCTCTGACCCTCCACCTTACCAAACATGATATCCTCCTTCTCCAGCGTGGTCCCTCCTGACAATATGTCTGAAATATGAGAGATGAAGTTTGGCCATCCTGGCCTCCAAGGACCACTCTGGCAGCATTCTTCCAACACAGATGTTGGTTCTTTTGGCTTTCTGTGGCACTTTCAATATTCTCCTCCAATACCAGAACTCAAAAGCATCAATTCTTCTATGGTCTTCCTTATTCACTGTCCAGCTTTTGTATGCATATGAGGTTATTGAAAATACCATGGCTTGGGTCAGGCACATCTTAGTCCTCAAGCTGACATTTTTGCTCTTCAACACTTTAGAAAGGTCTGGTGCAGCAGATTTGTCTAATGCAATACATCGTTTCATTTCTTGACTGCTGCTTCCATGAGTGTTGATAGTTGATCCAAGAAGAATGAAGTCCTTGACAACTTTAATCTTTCCTCCGCTGATAAGAATGCTGTTTATTGGTCCAGTGGTGAGGATTTTTGTTTTCTTTACATTGAGATAGAATCAGATAGAATCCATAGCGAAGGCTGTGCTCTTTATCTTCATCAGTAAGTATTTTAAGTCCTCTTCACTTTCAGCAAGCAAGGTTGTGTCATCTGCATATCCCAGGTTGTCAGTGAGTCTTCCTTCAATCCTGATGCCATGTGTCTCTTCATAGAACCCAGCTTCTTGTATTATTTGCTCAGCATACAGGTTGAGTAAGTATGGTGAAAGAATACAACCCTGTCACACACTTTTCCTAATTTTAAACCATTCAGTGTTCCCATGTTCTGTTTGAACAATTTGGTCCATATACAGATTCCTCATGAGCACAATTAAGTGTTCTGGAATACTCGTACTTCGCAATGTTGTCCATAGCTTATCATGATCCATACAACTGAAAGCCTTTGCATAGTCAATAAAGCACATGTAAACATCTTTCTAGTATTCTCTGCTTTCAGCTAAGATCCATTGGACATCAACAATGATATCCCTCATTCCGTGTCCTCTTCTGAATCTGGCTTTAACGTCTGGGAGAGTTCTCTGTCAATGTATTCTTGCAGCCATTTCTGTATTACCTTTAGTAAAACTTTACTCACAGGGAATATCAAAGATATTGTCTGATGATTTCTGCATTCCACTGGGTGACCTCTCTTTGGAATGAGCACAAATACAGTTCTCTTCCAATCAGTTGGCCAGATAGTTGTCTTCTAATTTCTTGGCATAGATGAGTGAGTGTCTCCTGTGCTGCTTCCCTTTCTTGAAAGATTTCAATTTTTATTCCATCAATTCCTCCAGGTGCGTTGTTCTTTGCCAATTCCTTCAATGCACTTTGCACTTCTTTCAGTATCACTGTCTCTTGATCATATGTTACCTCTTGAAACAGCTGAACATCAACCATTTCCTCTTAGTACAGTGACTCAGTATATTACTTCCACCTTCTTTTTGATGCTTTTTGCATCATTCAATAATTTGCCCAAAGAATCCTTCAATAATGAAAGTCAAGTCTTGAATTTTTTCTTCAATTCCCCCAGCTTGAGAAATACTGAGCACGTTCTTCCCTTTTGGTTTTCTGACTCCATGTTTTTGCACATTTTGTTGTAATATTTGCCCTTGTCTTCTCGAGTTGATCTTTGAAATTCTCTGTTCAGCTCTTTTACCTCCTCGTTTCTTCCATTCGCTTTAGCATCTCTACACTGGAGAAATCAAGTTTCAGTGTCTCTTCTGACATCCATTTTGATCTTTTCCTTCTTTCTGGTCTTCTTAAGGACTTTTCGCTTTCTACATGTATGATGTTCTTGATGTCATCCCACAACTCTTCTGGTCTTCCGCCTTTAGTGTTTAATGTATCAAATCTGTTCTTCAGATGATCTCTAAATTCAGGTGGGATATAGTCAAGGTCACACTTTGGCTCTCATGGACTTGTTTTCATTTTATTCAGCTTTAATTTGAATTTGCATATGAGCAATTGATGGTCTATTCCACAATCTGCCCCTGGCCTTGTTTTGGCTGATGATATGTATGGAGCTTTTCCATCATCTTTTTACGCAGCTGTAGTCAATTTGATTTCTGTGTATTACATCTGGTGAGGTCCATGTGTATAATCATCTTTTATGCTGTCTAAAGAAGGTATTTGAAATGAACAAATCTTGGTTTTGCAGAATTTATCATGCAATCTCCAGCATCATTTCTATCACCAAGGCCATATTTTCCAACTACTGATTCTTCCTCTTTGTTTCCAACCTTTGCATTCCAATCACCAGTATTGATCAATACATCTTGATTGCATGTTTAATCACACTGAAGTAGTTTGAATCTATTCTGAAAGGCAGACCCCAGCACTTAATCAATTGACTGCTACATATTCATCTGAGCATCTACCATGTGTAAATGCTATACTAGGGTTATCTACTACGTTAAAGTACTTAGAGGAATAATGTGAGCAAGACAGATACTGTTCTTGCCTTTACAGAGCTTCAAGTCTCACTGGGAGTCACAAAATAAGTAATGTGGCGAGAAATGCACTGAAGGAAGTGGGGTTTTGTAATGAAAAATAAAAGAGAGAATTTAACATAGTTAGATAAGGCCAAAGAGGCAGAATTATAGAGATAATATTTAAGCTGAAACTCTATTGCACAAGATCAGCCATGTAATTATCCAATGAAAAAGAACAAAGCAAGAATAAGAGAAATACATAGATAAAGGCCTTGGTGGTGGTGGTGGTGGTGGTGTGCCTTCGAGTTGGTTTCGACTTACAGAGACCCTGTACAGGGTTTCCAAGGCTATAAATCTTTATGGGAGCAGAACATATCATCTTTCTCCTATGTACCAGCTGGTGGATTTAAACTGCTGACTCTGTGGTTAGCAGTACAAAATGTAAGTACTATATTACCATCACTCCTTGGTTAAGAAAAAAATTTAACTCTTTTGGGAAAGTAAACGAAGGCCAACCTAGTAGGGTGGGGGAGGGGAATAAGTTAAGACTGGAGAACCCAGTGGCTCAGATTTGCAAAAATGTATAGAAACTTTGACCTTATGCTGCTGCTAAGATTGAAAAGTAAAAGAAGTAAATAAAGGTGATTTTTTTCCAAATCTGCAACCTACACAAAGGAGACAAACTAAATTGGGTATTATTAGTATGAGTGGCCAAGATCAAACTCCATTACAATACAAACTATTTTAAATGTACTAAATTTATTTCATTACAAAATGCTTTGGCCTCCCAAGTGTCCAGCAACAGGTGAATGAGTTAACAAAATGTGGTATATACATAAAATGGCTTATTATTCAGCAACAAAGATAAATGAAGTTCAGATACATGTTACAACATAGATCAGTCTTGAATACAAGATGCCAAGTGAGGTAAGACAGACACTAACATGCAAACATTACTCATAAAACATAATTATAATAAACAAATGCATACAGACCAAAGCTTATTAGTGGTTACCAAGGATGAGAAATGAATGCCTTAAAGGGCAATGTTTGGGGTAATGAAGAAAAACTTTTGGAAACAGCAGTGATAGTGGCACAATATAGGGAATGTAATTAATACCGAAGTTAAAATGGTTAAAAAGAATTTTGTTACCTATATTTTATCACAATAAATTTGGAAAAGCAAAATAAAACACACTTTCATACTGATGACTTCTGAGATTTCAATGACATTGAATAATATTAGCTTATATTAAATAAAATATATACCTTTAAAAAAACAGTCTCTTTTTAACTTACATTTATAACCAAAGAAACCTTTGGGCTTCTTGCTCTCCATTGGGATAAATGTTCCAATGATGAAATCAGCAATAGCAAGGAGTAGAATCACCAAAAGAACTATTTGAGCCTAAAATGTTTAACATTAAAAATCAAAATTAATTATTTTGTATGTGTACATTTATCCTGTTCCACTAGAATATAACTTCCCTTTGGCCTCCAGAAGGGCTTAATAACAATGTAGATTCTTATAAATTTTTGTAAAAGGAACCAACAAGTCTAAAAAACTAATCTACAGTGTTCAAGACACAGAACAAAATAGTAAAAGTAGGATCACATCATACATTTTTGAAATGACTTAAAGATGTGCATGCCTTTTCACAAACTATAAAGCATTACAGTGAGTTCCAAAACCCTGTAGGCTTTTCATCCTACATCATTCTTTCCTATCCCTTCCACGCTACCACTATAATCTTCAGATCAGAGCCTATTTGTCTTTAATAGGCTTTTACAGGTTTTACAAGTTTTATTCCAAGTGCAAACAATGTTGAACATTTGATTTTTATAGGAAAGGGAGAAGAAAAGGAAAGAAAGGACAATAACCATTTAGGGAATTCAAGTGGCAATGGGACTGGAAGAAAAGCACAATCTATAGGATCTATCAACTCTCCTCCAGCACTATTAACCTTCCAATAAATTTGAAAAACCAAACCATCTGTAGGAATAAGAACTACTTAAATGCTAATTTTACCCCACAGTAGTAAGAAATTTTATTCTTTCCATGAAGTCAATTTATTAGACATACAAATAAATTACTTAATTTTATATCAATGACTTTAAAATAAATAACAAGCTCAGAAAAGTAGTCTTTCAGACTGTCCTAAATTTTGGTTAAATATTATCATGGTGGTTATGTGCTGTGGAGTTGGTTCCGACCCATAGCGACCATGAACAGGGTTTCTGAGGCTATAAATCTTTAAAGGAGCAGAAAGCCTCATCTTTCTCCAGTGGAGCAGCTGGTAGTTTCGAACTGCTGACCCTGAAGTTCACAGCCCAATTCGTAAAGAGTATGCTACCAGAGCGCTTGAAATATTATCATAGGTCATAAATAACAGATATGTGACTTGTAACATGATCTACTAAAGCAAACCTGAAAATTTTTGAAGTGACTTCTGAGTTATTCTGTAGCATCTTCTGGGACATCTACTACTTAGGAAACTAGAGTTGTGCTGTAATATGGAAACATTCTGGGGGGGTGGGCTTTTCTAATAGGTTAACATATGACTTCAGCATTTTTTCCTGGAAATTGTGGCACTGGCTTTGGTACTCCTGACTTCTAATATTTCAAATGCAAGGACTAAGATTAGCCTTAGATGGGTATTAACTTTCATCGCCCGCCCCCTGTTTGTTTACTGCCCCATGTTTATTTTTAAATTGACCTTTTAAATAAATGTCAAAGCCAACAGTTAAATTTGGGTTGCCTAATATACTGGCCTGAGAATTTCTACGTAAGTGTGAATCAAGATTGGAGTAGGTGGGTGGGAAGTTCAAAATCTAGGAAGTACTGTGTTTAACACTGGATCCTACTGACTGCCATCTCAAAAAAAAAAACACAACCTTATATATGAACTGTGAAATGGCTACTTAGGAAACACAAATATCTGAAAACATTACCACACTGTAAAACATTCCCAAAGCAAACGCTCATAGACTGAATATCTACAGATATTCCTATCACTACTTACTTTTGCTTCCCATTCCATTCCAGCTAGTGAGATACCTAGAAGTAACACCACTGTAATGGCTCCAATAATTCGGATATCATTGATTTCATCTATCATAAGTATGGAATGTTCCTAGAAAAACACAAGTACAAATTTAATGTGTAATGTTAGTTATTTTAACTAAATACTATAGTTCTTGTAGCAGTTGAATAAATATTTACTTAGTGAACAAATAAATCAAAACCAAGCTCATTGCCATCAAACCAATGTTAACTCATTGCGACTCTATGCGATGGAGTAGAACTGCCCCACAGTTTACAGAAGCAGAATGCCACATCTTCCTCCCACCAGGTGGCTCATGAGTTCAAACAGCCAACCTTCCAGTTAAGAACCTAATGCTTTACTCAATGTGCCATCAAGGCTCCTTAATGAATGAATATGGAGATCTAAAAGTATCTGATGATGACAAAAATTAAATAAAATCATCAATGTTGTTATTGGGAGTGCAGTAGCTCCAGAGGAGAAGCACTGGACTCCCAACCACAAGGCTGGTGGTTTGAGTTCACCACTGCTCTGTGAGAAAGATGAGGCTTTCTGCTCCCACAAGGATTTACAGCACTGGAGACCCTACAAAGGGTCACTATAACTGATTCGATAGCACTTAACAAGAACAATAATGTTGATATACTTAGTATTTACTAAATAGAACAAGTAACAAAAAGAAAAATCATAGCATGCCTAAATTGTGCTGACAGCAAGGATTTTTTAAAGTTACAATGCAGAAGTATTTTGCATCTATTGTAATTAGTGAACTCATGCTTTCAATGGTTCTTTTATGTTGCATTAAGAAAGCAGAATAACACAACTTCACGACGTTCAAAAATTCAATTCTCATTGCATTAGCAAAATTATTTGTAATTCAGTTATCAATGACAGTTTTTAAAATCTCTCAATTATATAAAAATAGGTTATAATTGTGATAGTCTAAGTCAACTAAGTAAATAGATATTATGAGTTATTATTTTTCAATTAATGTAATAAATGGCAAATGCAAACTTTAACAAACACTTTCATCTTTCAGATTACTCAGCATAACTGGACCGTATTATGATTGAAGGAACTATGTTGTTGTTAAGTGCTGCTGAGTCAGTTCTGACCCACAGCAACCCTGTATAGGAGCAGCTGGTGAGTTTGAACCATCGATCTTGCAGTTCAAATCAATTTATTTTTCAGTCCAGCACATTAACCCACATCACCACACCAAGATTATAATGATTTTACATACTTGCATCCTTCTTACACATTTAAAAAAA